TTTTCATATTTTGTTCAGAGTTTATTATTACTGACTATAGGATATATATTACTATATTTTGTTCAGAGTTTATTATTACTGACTGAGTTTGTTATAAGCTACTCTGCTATTATCCGAACCAGAACTTTACCTATTGATTGTTTTATTTTCAGGTATTATATTTTTCATTTCTATAGAAGTTCTTTAGCTTCTTTTATAGTTTCCTTTACCTCTCCCTTCTTCCACCCCTTACTCCCTCCCTCTCTCTTACTTCTTTCTCCCTGCATATATTTTAAGCTCGTCTTATTTCTTAAGACACCATTTCTTTATAATCTGTACCCTATCGCTCCCGTATCTGAAGCCCTTACAGGTCTGTGTCTGTCCTTTGCTGCCCTCCGCTCATGGTGCCTTGTTCCCATATGTGTTTAGTTACAGTTGATAGCCAGCTGTTCATTTTCCCTGTCGTTTTATATGTATGGCTTCTTGGAGGTCTGGTGTGCAGGTGGACTCCTTCCATAAAGGATTCGCACTGCTGTGCTGGAGGCCCAAGGCCGTCACTGCGGTCCCACGCCGTGCTGGCTGTTGGTCGGGGGCCACTCTCGGCTCCCAGAGGCCACTACACTCCTGCCGTGCGGCCCCTTGGCCGTCAAAGCCAGCCATCTTTCTCCTTTTTCAGCCGCTGAGTCTAAAGAGGAAGTAAAACCACACAGTAGGTTAAACATCATTTTTATAAACTGACAAAAGGGGGTAAGATACAAGAAAGCTGTGTGAGGTGCCCTGGGGTGGAGGGAGCCCTGGGGAAGGACAGACTTGAAGAGGATTCCGACCTCCTGGGAGAGGGTGTGGTTTGGCCCGCCCAACAGTGGAGAGGTTTCCTGGTTTGGCCTGGCTGGAGCGGGGCTGGAGCTGCCGGGTGAGCAGTAGGCCCCCCCCCCCACAGTACAGGCAGGGGAGCAGGTGGCCGGTGACATGGGTGTGTAGCAGAGTTCCTGTGCCAGTGCAGGAGCCTTCAGGGCATGTGGGCCACGCAGGGACTCTGGTTTTGGGGCTGAAGGGCTGCGGGAAAGTTACTTCCAGGCTGAGGCTACAGGATCAAAGAGCAGCCATGCTCTGGGTGGAGGCTGCTCAGGCTTTGCCAAATGTCCTCACACCCGCTTCGCCAGCTCCCTGTCCCCGCCTGCAGTGTCCTTCCAGTTCCCTCTACTGAGACAGCGCAGCAGTGTGCTGTTTTCAGGGAGGGAAAAAGTTGTTTATCACAGAGCACACGCTGAAGAGGATGTTCTGAGCTAATCGGCAGTAAACCCGAAAGTGATACACACACTCCAGATGCCTCTGTCAGGGAGAGCCCTGTCCCTTTTAGGAGCTCAGCCAATTAGGGCACATCCACTCTGGAGGTAGGATGTCCCTTTCCTAGAGCCAGCTTTGTGTCATAAACTGACCACAGGAGTGGCCGTCATCGCATTCACTGCCTCGGGCGTAGACAGGGAGTGTACGCCAGGGGATGGGTGTCTCGGGGGACACCGCGGGGCTCTGCCTGCCGCAGCGGGGCGGAGCGGGAGAGGAGGGTGACAAGGATGACTCAGCGCTACACGAGAAGCTCCTGCGCAGAGGACACAGGTTGCATTTCATTCCGTCCTTGAAGCATGTTAGCTGCCCCATGAGGAAGAGAGGAATAGCTGTGTTTATTAAATTTCTATTTGTAACTACTCCACAGAGCACGTTCATATATATTCTGCCTTTATTTCTTAACATTTTGAGACAGGGGTTGTCTTCATTTTGCAACAGGGGAAACAGGCTTGGGGTTGTCAGGCCACTTGTCTGGAGACAGCCAACTAACATCCAGTATAGCTGGGATTGAAACCCAGCCCTGCCGAATACTGAACCCTGTGTCTTCTAAGAGCACCTAAGAATGTGTTGCCCTGGGAAGAGATTGCGGCATTAGAGGGGCATGAGGGCAGGTGACAGAGGTCGTCTCGGCGGAGAGAGGGCGGATCGCCTTCAGCGCTTCGGCTGTCTCTTGAGCCCCCTGTAGAGGTCGCTCCTGTTGGGCCTTCACCGGAGGCACCAGGGATCAGAGCAGAAGGCCTTGCCGGACTTCCTCGTTCTGCCCGGGATTCTGGGCATCTATCTGCTTGAGCCGTGTGTCACTGGGAAGTAACCATGCCACTTGTCCTTGTTCTCACCTCTGAATATGAAACAAAATAAAACGAGATCTGAGAGAGCTGGGTATAGCCTTGTGTGTGTGTGGCGGGGGGGTGTTTTATGCTTGGAGAATTCTAATAACCAAGAGCCACGCTCACGACCAGTGGCCAGGAGTATGTGTAGAATAAACCCTCCCGTGCTGTCTCTCCCAAATCACAGTCTGCTGCTGTCCTGGTGTGTCTGTCACAGGCTCGGGAGCCCCTCAGGGGTGGGCCCCTCTTCTGATCCTTCTTTGCGTCCCCAGAGCCTGACGCGGAGCATGGCGTTGGTCGTGATTGTGGGAGAAACCAGGACATATGTTTCAGCCTGGCCCGGCGGGACTCAGGAGCCCTGGGCCCCCTCCCGGCGTGGCGCGGATTCACTCCCAGGGGCACTGGGCTCCCCAGGGCCCAGTTCCCTCCTCTTTAGAATGAGGAACGTAGACTTGACTTTGGGCCATTGCAGCACTGCAGACAGATGTCACCACACCACAGCTGCCCCAGGCGTTTGAATGATCTCAGATGGTGACTAGGCTCGGCTTCAGGTTATGGGGACATGTGGAACCGTGTGGGTGAATCGGAAGGGTACATCCCGTTCCCTCTCCTTGGACACATGAAGTAAAGGATTCATTGGAGTATGGCCTCTTCTTCCACCCACTTCCATCGATTCAGACTGGACTTTTTTCACCCTCCCAATTCTCCACAGTGTTTCTCTGCTTTGAAGGGAAATTGCAAGTCAGTCGGGGTCAGAAGGGCAGGCACAGGGCTCAGCTGGTCAGCAGGGAACAGTTCCTCCCTGAAATTTCAGATGAACTGACCCAGGCCATTTCCCAAGGAACTTTGCTAAACTCTGGTTCGTTGGTGTTTTTAAGTGAGATGTTTTGCTTGACTCAAACCATTTAAAATGGTATGTAAAATTAAATTCAAAAAAGTTTCTCAATACTGATTTGAGCAAGCAAAGTGGACTTCCTTGTTGCTTCTAGAGATTTCTTTTTTACCTCAGGTACCAAGGGCTTATCGTGGGTTTAAGCAGTGATCTGCAGGTGGATTCTCCATTTCCTTAACCCCTAGATCAATTTAGGTTTCGCCTAAAGAAATGTGGTCATTACTTCAGAAAGTGACTTCTGTAGGGGACACAGTAGAGGGAGCGGATTTCTGGGTCAGGAGCTGCTACCACCTAATTAGTTTTGTGAGCGCAGGCCAGTCACTGGGCCTCTCTCTGCCTCAGTTTCCTTAGCTGAGTTAGGGGAGAATGCAAAGGAAGGTCCCCTGTGAAGCAGAGCGCAGTGGGTTTGCAGAGCTCCCTAGGTCGCCAGCGTGCAGCCAAGACTGGGACCTGCTGCCGCGCGGCACCCTAGAGAGGGCCGGCAGCTGGCGTCTCAGGACTGTGCATTTCTGGTGAAGAAGGGAGACAGACTCTAGTTCGGGTTCAACTGATTTTTTATTTCGATGTCTAAGCATTAGCCAGTTATTTCCGTGTCTCACGAAGGGACAGGCGACTGCTGCACAGTCAGGCTCTCTTGTCTGCTGTGATTGGGGAAGTCCTGGGTCTGTGTGGAATTTTCCATGACTCGTAGCTCTGCACCGCGAGGTCTGCCGCAGTCACAGGGCTCTCCAGTGTGTCCGCCCGTGCTGCCCGCCCCTTCCTTTTATTACAGTGTCAGATCCATGTCAGACCTCAGCTACACGCCTAGCCATTCTGTCTGCGTCTAATACACTAGTTCTCAGGACAGCAGAGAATCTCATCTGAATTAGCTTTTTGTTTATAAAGTGAGTCAGCCTGAGGTATCTGTTTTGGCCCTATGTCCTCAGGTGTCGTGTTACCTGTCACAAAACCCCCTTTTGTGGGGCCGGGTGGGAGGGCGGCTGCCTGTTTCTGCAGGCGCAAGCCTCTGCTGCGGCGCTGGCCACTGGTGATCAGAATCGGCTTTTTGATCCTTCGATTGGAAGAGTTCCAAAAATGACCGCAAATGAAAAGAACAGAGACCCAACCAGATAAACGACCTGGTTCTGTTTGGCCAGTTCCCTCCTTATAGGGGAATTGGAGGTCCTAAAATTTCTTTGCTCTGGTTCTCATGTAATGGTTCTCAGACTTTGTTGGGTACGTGAATTACTGTATCAGATATAAAGGCACTCGTGATCCGTGTAGGAAAATGTTAGCTTGACTGCGTGCTGTTGTTCACGTCCAACCCTGAGGTTACGGGTGACACTCTTGCCCTTCCTGCATAATTAGTCCATAGATTCTGAAGTGAGCAAGGAAATTAAATGCCCGTCTCGTTCAGCTTTTCTGTGGCCCATATTTTCCTGGTGATGGTGGCTAGAGAAGGGGCGCTCCAGCGTTAGAGCCTCGCTGGCAGATGGGGAGCTGAAATTTCACCTGGCTGTGCCCGGGACATGGCGTGGCACACGGCAGCGGCCCTAGCATTTCGAGAATGGGTAAAGTTAACACGTGTTCTTCCTGAGCCTGAGAGTTGGGGTGATCAATTGAAATGATGTGAAAAACACTCTGAGGTAGAGATACATGTATGAATTCAGGGAACCTGAGCTTCTTAGAATTAAGAAGGTGAGAGAACACAGAGAGAGGTGTCCTGTGACAAAGCCTCACTGCTTTGTAATGTGTGTCTAAGCGAAGGCCACGTGTGCTCGGTGAAACGTTTGTTGCAAGCTACACCCCGGACTCCCATTGGTACAATGTGTTAGGAGCTCGTGTTGAAGGTTGGACTGAGCAGGATAGACTTATGTGTTATTGAAGCTCTTTTCTTTTGTTCTAATTGAAAACGGTCCTGTTCCCACATGATTTCACCACTTTTTGTTGTCATTCCTCCTCCGTGATTCTTTCAGTTGGCTGATCGCAATTCTGGCCCAACTCAACCCTCTCTTCGGACCGCAGTTGAAAAATGAAACCATCTGGTATCTCAAGCATCACTGGCCTTGAGGAGGAAGACCCGCAGTCCAGCGCTCCGCCACCAAGGTGACTATGTGCCCTTGACCTTTCATATTGTGTTGTCAGTCACTCACTGAGAGTTTGCCTTGGCCTTTTTCTCAGAATTTTTGTGGCATTTTAACACTTGGCAAGGGTGGGCTGCTGAAAGCAAACGTGACCTGAAGAGCAGAAGTAAATGTGGACGTTAGGTTGTTTGCTTTACTAAAGGATTTATCCACAATATTCTTTTAAATTCCACCATCACTGTGCCATTTACAACAGTTTGATGTACAAGATTAAGTTTCCGTGCTGTCTTCTAGACACAGCTCAGGGACGAGACCGCTGGTAGTTGGTGTGACAAGTCTCAGCCGCTGCAAGTGGCCATTAGGGACATTTCGGAATGCTCTGGATAGAGAGAGAAGGGTGCTTTCTTGAAAACTGGTCTTAAAATTGCAGCTTTTCTTTGGTTCTGAGGATCAGAGAGGCAAGGAGTGGTATAGGGGGGAAGATTTAGTCACTGGCTGAGGTCGGAACACCTGCCCTTTAGCCTGTTCCTCTGTCACCATCATTTTGATAAAGGGAACATAGCGCTGCTTGCCTGGGTTCTGGTGCAGCTTTGGGCAAGGACCCCTCTCTGGGGTACGGTGAACCTCGTGTTGCCTCTCAGGAGACTCTGGCGCGCCCGGCTCTCCTCTCTTCAGAGACGCTGAGGTGACCAATGGGTCCAGGCAGCGGCACCCTGGCGCGCCAGCCGCCGCGTGCTCTGTCCGCCTTCCACCCAGTTCCTCCTCTGTCGCTGCCCGTGGCCTGCATCAGGGGTTCTGTAGAAACTGCAGAATGGTGATTTTCTGGTTTTCTCATGCTTCCACATTTGAGTAGGTGAACTCTCTCTAATAAAGATGAATTTTCCCTTATTAGCTAGGGTTATTTGGTAACCTTGAAATACAGATCATATAGGAAAAGCAGAATACATATATTTCTTTTCTTTTTTTAATTCTCAGAGTAAATTATTGGTGCTCAAGTTCCTTCTAGGGTATCCAGTGAGGTTTTCTTTCCTTTTTCATTGTAATCAATTACATTCACTATCCTTTGTATGTTTAATTGTTCTTTCTTTGGCCGGTGGGAGCCTGTCTAGATTGGCCTCTGCGTCCGTTCGATGCTAGTCTTGGATGGTTTCCTTACTTTCTGGCAACATCGCGGTGTCCCAGACCCTCTTGTATGTTTCCTGGCCCGGGCTTGGAATCGGCTGGTCCTCCAGTTGCTTTCTGAATTTCCCTCTGAAAGGATCCTGGTTCCCTTGTCAGTCCTCAAGCCCAGCTGGCCCTGTTTTCTTTCGGTGGGAATGGTATTTAAAAACCAAGAGCTGATTGCTGGGTGCATCTGGTTCTGCTGGGGTGTTATTGCTTCTAAGCCTTGACAGTGGACAGAGCCAGGAAGTGCATAGTTTTAAGAAGAAAAAGAATCATGTGTTCATATTAGTATTTCTAATTCAAGTTTAACATTATAGGGTTTTTTTAATTCTTTGGTTTTGTACTTGATTATCATTCATATATGCCAACAGTCTTGCTTCCTAAAGACAGTAACTTAATTATTTACTTTCATTGTCCTACAGTATATAAAACAGTTTTCAAATAACACCAGTATAACTACCAACTATAACTTTATTGAGTACAGTTTAGGATATCTTTCCTGCTTTCTTCGCCCTTAGAACAAATAAAGAACAAAATGCTGTTTTCTGAGGTCACTTGACATAATTATTTTTCTTGGTGGTTATCAATTTGATATGTAGTTAGATTAAGTTTTATTTTGTGTTCAATTCATAATAATTTATATTTACTTATTTTTATTTCTGATCTATTACCATTGTCCCAATTTCCCCCATTACTCTCCCCTGCCCCCGCCCCGAGTCAGTCCCCACCCTGTTGTCCATGTCCATGGGTCATTTCATAGTAATTTTTTTATTTGTTGCTATTTTTGAACGTGTAAAACATTTCCAAAGTCAAAATTATAAACAAGATAATAAATAAGAAGTCTATCCTTCGGTATTTCATTTTGCCTAGGATAAGCAAATACGTGTGTGTGTGTGTGTGTGTGTGTCTGTCTGTCTGTCTATCCTCCCCCACCCCCCACACAGCTGTTCCAGAAAGGAAATACTACGTATACTCTTCTATAGCTTGCTTTTCCCTGAACACTGTCATCTGGAGGTTGCTCCTATCAGTGGATAGAGATCTTCCTCGATTCTTTTTATACCTATTGATGTCCTTCTGGATTGTTTCTATTCCTCTGCTATTAGTAACAAAGCCACCCTAACCCTAGGCCATTCAGTGCCTATGACATTGTATATTTTTGCTAATGATCTTTGGGTTCGAGTCCCTGAAAATGAAATCTCTGGTTAAAGGTAAAACTAACTACTTTTGCTAAGTAGGGCCACACTTCCCTCCCTCTGGACGGCGCCATTTTTGCGTTCCCACCCACAGTGTGCCAGAGCGCGGGTTCCCTCACAGCTGGGCGTTTGCCCATCTGCTCGGTAAGTGGTCAGCTTTTTCCCCCCTCTTTGCCCAGGGCCTTTTGATTTCCCTCTTACATAATTTTTGTTTGATCTGATGCATACGATTTTTTTACCTGACTTTTTTTCCCACAACATCTCCTGATTGCTCTCCTTTCTTTTATCTATAGTGAGTGTTAGATAGGGATGTTGCTTGGGCTTTAAGGCTGAGAATTTCCCGCGTTGCCTTTCACTGAACTTCTCTGAGCCTCATTTCCTTCCCTTCTGATGAGACTGTTAGCCTCTGGTTCCACATAACCCTGTGTGTGTTAACCTAATTGACCACATCTTAACATTTGCATCCTGGCCCACAGCACCCCCTGGGGCTGCTGCTTTAAACCCTGTATTAAATAAAGTTGTTCCTTGAAAAGGAAAATGCCAGGAAGGTGCAGGCCGGCGAGCCCTGGTTCACATCCTGGTCACAGTTGTGAGCACCATGACGTGGCTGCTCCGCGGCTGAGGGAGTGATGGGGCAGCGCCAGCACCCGGGCCGTCGGAGTTACAGACCCCAGTGGGTGTGACCTTGCAACAGGTCAAGGCTTTACTTTTCTTGGTGGTGAACTCAGCAGATTGAGCTAAATTCCCTTCTGAACTTTGAGCTTTTACACAACAGTGGGGTGACCAAGGAGGGCAGAGCCCAGATGTCGGCCTGTCTTCGTCTGGTATGGAAAAGTGTGATTTTGTACATGATGTGAGTAAGAGCCCAGGCTGGGAAGATAGATGTAAGCTAGACACGGTGTTCAGCAAGAGGGCAATGAGGAACAGTCCTTGAGAGCTTTAGAAAAATTGTATACAGGTGAGATCGACTTGATCTGAACAACACAATCAGACACTTAGTTAATGTTTTGCTGCTTTAATCACTCTCTCTGCCCCGGTTTTCTTCCGCCTGTGATGACTGGTGGGTGGAGTGCCGACGCATTAACAGCCGCGGGGCTGGAGGCTCGGCCCGCGCCCCTCAGAGCGGAGCTCGCTTCCTCTGTCCCCTGCCCGCCTTGCTTCCCTGGCCACGGCACTGTCACATCAGCGTTGCTGTTTTTGTCAGTGTCCTGTTTTCCCACAGCCTTGGGGAGGTCATGCTAGTATTTTGTCTCCTTGGAGTGGTTTGGCTTCAGAGCCCGTGTCGCGTAAGTTGGCTGGTTTGCCACATCATTGTGATACATCAGATGAGCTTTCACAGTTTGCCACAGTTCTAAAAGGAAGTTCTATTTTATTACAAAGTCTGGAGGGGGGGGATAGAGAGTATTGAGAATTAGGCTTCTGCCCTGGGGGGAGCTGTTTTCTCTGCATTCCAGAAATACTTGAGTGCTCACGACAGGCATAGTACTGAGTGGAAATTTCAAGGAAGGCCCTGAAGGGGTTTCTGATAGGTCCCAGTTAAATGAAGCCACAGCTGTGGCAAGTTCAACAGTGCAAAGGTGTTTGTGATTGAAAAGTGTGTTTTTCACTCTGATTCTGACCAGATAGCCTGCCTCAGGCCCAGTCATGCCTCCATCCCAGTTCCTGGCGGCGCAGTTCTTCTGGCCATGTAGGGCCAGAACCTGTCGGTCACTTCTTTGCCCTCTGCCTCGAATCCAGTTGATCCTGGTAGAGTCTCTGCATCTGCCCCTCCCTCCAACACCCCGTTTCTGACCCCGGTCGCTGCAGCTCACAGTCACTGCAGTGGCTCCTCGTCAGGCCTCCCTGTCCTGCAGTTGGAGTGTCTACAAAACGCCATCCTGCTTCCCTTCTCGCTGGCACGTCCCTGAGACAGATTGCGGCTCGCCCCGAGCCCTCGGTCCCCCTGCACAGGCTGCAGCGGGGGTTCAGTTCAAGGTTCCTGCGTCAGCGGGTTCAGGCCCCTTGAAATGCTGTGGCACGTGTTGTAAGCGCAGCCCACAGAAGAGAAGGGCGATGATCTGCAGGTTACGTCCAGCGTCTAACTTGGGGGCCAGGCCCTTCGCCATCTGCCCCCAGTCTCGCTCTGCTGCCTTTTCCCTGCTCCGGGACCGCTGGGTTCCAGCCTCGCTGCTTTCACATTCTTGGCCTGTTCGGCCTGACTTACCCTTTCCTGCCCCTTGCCACCTACAACCTTCACTCATTCAGAAAGTAGATTAGAAAACACTCTTATTTTGCAAACGTTCTTCTGCCCCCTTGTCCCACTCTTGGACGCTCTTCCTGACGCTTGCTTTCTCTGAGCGGCCGGCTTGCACGGCCCTGCAGTTCCTTTCCTGGCTGCTTGGTTTCTAAGTGATTTCTTCTCTCCCGAAATGTGTGTAGCTACCCAGTTTTTTGCCATTCCTTTGCTGCCTTGCCTCGTCTGGTTGAACACACACCCTTAGTTTGCTTAAGTGCCCTTGTAGCTCACCTCCTAAAGTACATACCTGCACATAACAACAGACGAGGAATTATTTTGTGAGTTTGTCTTCAATGAAAAAATAAAGGTAAAAATAACCTCTCTCTCTGAGTAAAAAGTATATTCACTCATTCTTCCCTGAAAAGATTTCCTAGTTCTGGACTTCAAATTTTCCTGTCGTCTTCATTCTCAGTTTTATCTGAACATAGCCTTAGTGATTGCCTTACTGTACAAAAGGAGAACATAGTCCCTTTGTTGAGTTCCCCCCCTCACCCCATCTAATCAGAGAGAGGATTAGAATGTGCTCCTGTTTAATTCACTCTAAAATCAGCTGCAAGCCTATGCCATTTAACCTAGCGCTCGCTCACGTTTATTTTAAACTGGGTGTCATCGAGCTTGAGTGAAAATTATCCCCCATTTCTATATGCTTTTTCAAAAATGACGACCTGTTTTTTCATTCGTGATTAATTTATTTGTCCCAAAAGGCCTAGACGATGAAGTCTAACCAGTATGTGCTTCATGGAGAATCACCCCACAGGGCACCTGTGTCCGCTGTTCAGGACTCTGAAGTAAAATTCAGGAGGGGCCCGGGCCCGGGCCCGGCCTGTGCGGCGGGAGGAGGGAAGCGGGCCACTGGTTAGCGGGAGGGTCTGTGAGGCTGGCGGCTCGCTCTGCTGACTGCCCCGCTGAGGCCTGCCATGTACACACGGTGCCCCGGTCACACCTTAAGGTGAACGTGCATGGTCTGCAGTGTCCTGCCTGAGCGGTCCCGGCAGCTGGGGCTTTCCACCACCGAGGGCGGTTGGGCCGCCCCGGTGTGCACCAGCCTCTTGTCGCTGCTGGCACCTGGACACAGGCCTGGGGAGCCTTTTATCACACTGCGCTGGGGCTTCTGCCCCTGCGCACTGACCTGGAACACCTCGAGGGCCCACCGGGCCTCTCCACGTGCTGTGTGACCTTCGTTCCTGTCAGACCTGCCTGCCACAAACCCTGTCTCATCGAATTTAGCCCTTCCCACCTGCACTTAACCCTCAACGTGCTGGCACACTGTGCGTCCTAACCAGCGTGTTCTCTTGTCCACCAGCTCAAGGCTGGTGTGGAAATGGCCTTTGAAAGATTTTTCTCTTTATTGGCTTTTTAATTCCAGAAACTGGTGTTATAAAACAAGCTGTCCGTAGAAGCGTTCACGCGGCCGCCATCGGCAGCTGGCTGTGTGCAGGCACCTGCCTGCTGGCTCTGCGAAGGCGGTGCTAGAGCTTGAAGCTTCTAGCAAAGAAACGCACGTTTGTCGCCTACACTTGTGGTGGCAAGAGTGGGGAGCAAACTAGAAGCAACTTCGCGGACCACGACAAGGAGTCCGCTCTTGAGGAGTGTGACAGAGAAGAACTTGCCACTCCTGGGGGACCTTGCTCCTTGCTGTGAGGGGGGAAGGGAAACGCACATTCTTGAAACCGAAGTGAACGCATCAGATTCCTGCACGATTGGTCTTAGTCACTTTGCTCTTCCTCTTTCTGTGACACGATCACACCTGCCTGTGATCCTCAGTTTAGCAGTGTCCCTGGTCACAGGACCTCTTAACACCACTCTGCAAAGCCTGCCCGAGCTGGCAGTTGAGCCCACTTTTCACGCCAGTGTTTATTGAGAACCTACATACTTTAAATGTTGGCCTCGTTGACTTCCTTGATGTTCTCCTTTTGCCCTCCTGAGGGTGGTATGAGGACCAGTTACTAGAACGGCTTTGTTTTGCAGGTCACGAAGAGAATTCCTCTAGATGCAAAGCCACCTCCACGCCCAGACTCGCCTGTTTGGGTCAGCAGCTGCCTTAAACATTCGCACCACAGTTGAATACCTTATTCTACAGTGCAGTATTTTTTTCCTGTACCTTTTTTACACTTTGATGAATTATGTGCCTCCTTAATCTCAACTGTGCTGACGACATAAAATGTGTATACACTCTTCTGAGATAGAAGGTGCTTGTCTTCTGCGAAGCACGCCCTCTCTCCTGGGAACCTGTGGATTTGAAGATGGCTCCCGCCCACTCACAACGTGGGAGTCCGCGACCTGTCTTAAAAACTCACGAGACAATAAGCCTCCAGTGCAGCGGCCAGTAGGAGAGCATACTCAAGGGGAGCTCTGTCCCCACAGAATCACACCAAAGTATATTTTCAGGATGAATTTCTTCTGCCATCTTTTGGAATAAATTATTTTCCTGCTTTCTATGGAAATCTGGTGTTTGTGTTTGTTAAGCTCATTTTTATAAGCTTTTCTGTCTCTAATGCCTTAAAAAACAAGACATTGCAGTTCAGACTCAAGTTGGATGTAGGAAACTGGCCATGTCTTTTGAGGTGCCTGAGGAGACTGGTAAGTCCTTATCTTAGTCACTCAGGGCGCATTTGGGTGCCTGCTCTGGCCAAGGCACTGGAGGGTCAAAGATGTGGAAATGGGGTGCATGCCAGCTCAAGAGCCATTACGCTATTTGGAAAGGAAGGCCAGTCTCTGTAGAATTATAATACAAGGTCACGTTTGTCCATAGGAAGTGTTAGGACAGTGAGCAGGCAGCCGGTCGGTACCAGGCACAGGGGCGAGCGGGCCCAGTGGCTCACTGCACCGTCGCACCCTCAGACCCAGCGCTGAAGAAATCCTGAGTGAGAAAGCCTGGCGTGGGGGCAGTAATTCTTGATAGCAGCAGCTCAGTAGTTCACCACGTGAGAAGCTTGATTAGTTTTAAGAAATTAAAAAATTAAAATCTAAATTTTTACTGGCGCATGGCTTTCTGACAGCTGGCCAAGAGTGGATTTCCTGTTTTGCAGTTCGTGCTTTTCTGTTCCTCCCAAACTCTCTGAACTCATTGCTGTGCTATTCTCATGACCAAAGAGAGTTTCGAGTTGAAGCGACTCCTGCTTTCATTTCTTTCCTTCCAGTCTTTACTTTCATTTTGAATGTGAAGTTTTCCTGAGCATGAAGCAATCCTATCCTTTACATTTCCAGCAAAGGGGCCTGTTTAGCTAATCGCATGGAATCCATGAAACAGTGACAGTTTGATGCCAAAGGGATCATAGTGATAGGTGCTGCGCCCGTTTACAGATAAGGGATCTGAGCTCAGACCGGAGAACACGCATCAGTTCAGTGCAGCCCGTTAGAGGCGGACTGGGGAGCAGGGCCCACATTTTCTAACTCCCACCCTGGAGCACTCCTCCCTTGCCCCCTGCCTTGCTGAGAGTTGCGCTGGCCAGCAGCCAGCTCTGGGACTCGGGCGGGAGGGGCGAATTCTGCCTTTGTGGGTGACGAGGCTGTCCCACATGAGAGCAACTTACATGACCCTCAATCAGTATTTGTCATCTTAAGAAAACAGTGCTGGTGGTTACTGTGACTCCGTAGGATGCCACAGTCTTTGAGCCTGACCGTAGGAGTGGGGAGTGGGCGGAGTGAGACTCCGGCATGGTCGGTCATGTATCTGGGTTTTCAAGTCTGGCCCCGCAGTCCATTGCTGCTGGGGATCGGTCTGAAACCGTCCCAGCCCCCGCCCTGCGCTGGTTTCCATCAGACCACCGTGGTTTTGGAGCCGAGCCTCTTGATGTCCGTGCCGTAGTGGTGCTTCCCCTGAGTGTTGCTTTTGCCTGTCCTGGTTCAGCTCGCGGTGGAAGCTGCTAGGGGGCCCACGGATGGCTGGCTCGGCAGACCTCAGCTGCGGTTCTGCTGCGTTCTGACACCTTGTACAGATCCATCCTCCTGCCTCTCATTTACCCTGCGTTAGACGTCGGGAAGTGAACTGGATTACGTTGCCTTTTGCACATGGGCTCACTTGCTGTTTGGGGTATCTGATCCCCATGAGCGTGTCTGCTGCACAAGTCACAGTGGGAACACAGGGACAGGAGCACTCAGGGCCTCGTGCTGTGCCAGGAGGTTTGACTGTCCCCCAAAAGGGGACATCGGCTCAGTAAGCCCTCTGGGAGGGAAGAGTCCCTTATGAATGAGGCAGCGGCTCAGGCCTGAGCCCAGAGGGTTTTCTCCAAACCTTGCAGGGACTTCAGTCCTAATGATGCCCCAGTGGACTCAGCATAAAGCCTGTGAAGAGGAGCTCATTTTCTAGCCAACTTAGAGATCAAAGACCTTCCGGAAGGATGGATCGCCAGCTCCGTAAGGCCAGGTACTGTGGTACCACCTGGCTACCTTACTGGTGTTGGAATTGGGGGGTGGTGAAATCAACGCCAGTTTTGTGAGGGAAACTCAGTAAGATCCCTTGCCCTGGGCCACTGAACCCTTGAGCCTGTTGTGTCATTTAGGAAATTCTTGAGACTATTAAGTGCAATTAATAGGTAAACTCGGGATATGTGTTTTCTCCTCGCCTCATCCCTGAGAACTGAACCATGGTGGTACAGCATGTCCCAGGCTCTGAGATGCGAGCTTGTGAATCATTTCCTTTGACAGTTAGTTCCCTTGCTCTGGCGTTTGCCAGGGCTTGGATCGGAAGGTGCTCCACCCAGCTCTTTCAAAGGATTCTGGAAAAATCCCTCTCCTTCAGAGCCATTCCAGGTGAGCATGGTGTGGCCTCGTCTGGTGATCGAGACTAGGAGAAGCCCTAGCTTTGCAGTCTTGTGCCATCACTTGCTAGCTACGTAACTTGGGGCAAATCATTTCATTATTGAGCCTTAGTTTTTTTCATGTATAAAATGGGGATAATATCCGCTCCTTCTGCTACATAAGGTTGTTACCTAAAGAGACATTGATGGTGAAGATGATTTGTAAATTCCAATAATACATAAAATATATTTTCCAAAGAAATGATAAAATTCCTGGGACCCATTGACAGTACTTTTATTTTTGTACTTTTCTTTAATTGATTCTTTTTGTGGCATATGAAGATATGCCACACAGGAATAGCCAAGTGATTTTTCCCCCCCCTTACGTCTATTTTCCCCTTTGATTAGCCATTTGTACTTGGGTTACAGGAAAAGTAAAGGCATGTACCAGGCTGCAGGCCTGAGCTCTGATAGGGCGATGGGTCTCCTAGAAACAATCACAGCTCAAGTGTCTGGAGGACATCCTTCCAGGTTCCACTGCTCTTGTATCAGAACGGGAGTATTTCTGGCATGCTTTTGAAGATGTAGTTTTCAGGGTCATTGGTTTCTTGCATGGTTTTTGTTGTTTTCTTTAAACATACAAGAATGTCTATACCCTTATCACTGACCTAATGATTATTGTATCTTTCTTTGGTGTTGCTTCAGAAGGAGCACCTTTTTGGTTCATTCCAGCTACTTATTTTTAACAGCAGCATGTGTCCTGTGATGCTGAGGCAAATTTGGAATTGAGAAATTATTTTAAACTGTTGCTCAGACATGAAGGGGTCGGCTCTGGATTTCATTGTCCACAAATTGGAAGAGTCGATTGCTCCTTTATTACCTTTATTTAAGTTACAGTTTTAAATACCTATCTAGGCATTTTAGAATAGTGTCATTACGCCACTCCTCTTTGCAAGAGCTCTTCTCTATTTGGAGGACAAATGTATTTAAAATGGAGATGGTTCCTAAGTGATGTTGCTTTTTCGCCTTGCCCTTTTATTTCAGCTTTCTCTTAAGAGTTAAATGGATGCAGGCAGTTGTAGAAAATCCGTAATTTTCCAAGGAAAAAAACGCAATGAAAATGCCATTTAACAGGTATTGATCATAACACAATTAATGGAAAGCAACCTTCATGCCCCACATAAGGAGACACATAAATAAGTCGTGCTGCATCCAAATGAAGGCGTATCATGGAACATTAAATAATTTTTTTCCAGAATATAGGTCTAGAAAAGAGATTGAAAAGACTACAAAACTATTAACATTGCCTTTGGATGGTAACTGCAAATGATTTTAATATTTTCTTTCAGCATTTTCTCTAGTGGAAATGTAATGCTTCAGTAAAAAGAAGAAACAATAAAAGTTACTTGACTAATGAGACAGAATAGAGTATTGTGCTTGCTTTTGCAGCACATACGTAGCACGGCTCCCACACAAGGATGACAAAAAAGGGTCGGGGGGCGGGAGAAAGAGAGAATAGGATATTAAGAGAAAAAAATGGGATTTTAAACTTGTGTACATAGGAAAAATCCTGGTAAGAAGTAGACCAAAATGTTTATAATGATTATTTCCTTCACAACTTCGTGTGTTTTCCAAATTTTCCACAAAGTATGTATTATCGTACTATTACAATCAAGAGGGAAAACGGTGTTTTTTGAGGGGGTTTTGGGAGACCATTGTCAGATATTGTTAGTACTTCCTTCAAACATTACATAACACACACACCCCTTTTTTTTTTTTTTAAAGAGTAATTCAGGGTCAGGGGAAGTGAAGTCAGCTAGATTTATTGAAACACTGAAGCTATTCTGAGTCAATGAAGATTAGCGCGTCCACACAGCAATTCTGATTAACTGTTTGCATTGTGCACAGCAGAGCGCTCTGCTCTCGGCGTGTCAAACTGCCCTTTGTATAGGTGCTCACAGGGATGGCACCGCAAGATGAAAAGGGAGCATTGATTTGGATTCTACCCACAGAGAGAGGTGGAGGCCTGGGGTATTACTGCTCTGCTCGGGGGTGCCGCATGAGTAGAAAAAGCCCCACTGTCCTTCCACTCCCAGCTGCTCTAAGCAAGTCTTTCATTCAGGCTGTGCCACTGCTTCACTCAAAACCCCCTCCTCGTGAAATGTATCGGCCCTTTTTTCCTCCAACTTCTCCCCGCTTCCCAGGCTAACTCCAAACAGGAGTCTGCTAGTGGCTGAGGATGCTCCGCCATCAGTACCTCCCCCTCTACCCAGAACACCTCGTGGCGTTCTCAACTCAGCGGCTGACCCCAGGGACAGGCCCTGGAGGCGCTGTCCCACCAACTCCCTCCGCAGGTTGTGACCCCCCGAGTTCCCTCCGCACCCTTTATTTGTCATCACTACTGTATAATTCACAGGGTGTTTTCCCTGCAGCTGCAAAAACCTTTGCTGGGCAGGATCTCCAGCTGCAGCCTTGCACAAAGTAGGTGCTCAGTAAGTGTTAATTCCTTGCGGGTCCTGTGGGAGGCCAAGCCTCCAGGCGGAGCTGACTGTAGGGGCAGCAGAAAGGAGCTGCAGCGAGCTTGCCCGCCCGCCCGCCCGGAGCCGCCAGAATCCTGGCTTGAGCCTCCGTGACACCGCCCAGGTTGGCGGGGAGCAGGTGCCCTCGGGGTGTGTGTGGAAAGGCGGGCAGCCCTGCTG